TTGTAAACACCTACTTTCTGAAGAAGGGAGGAGCGCTTTTTTTTTTTATTTTTTTTTTTTTTTTTCAAAAGGGAAAGAACTTGAAGGCTGGGGATCTTCCCCCGGGACACTCGCTGTTGAGTGGAGAAGAAGCCATTGTAGCACACGAGTGCTACAGCCGTGTCCACTCGGCCATTATTTTTATACAGGGCAGAAATGCCTGAAGGTGACGACTTTGGACCAGGCCAAAGGTAATTGCGATATATATTTACTTTTTCTTGAGTCTTTTTTATTTGCTAGTTATCTTTTTTAAAAGGCATTATCACTCATTTCAAAGTAGTTTAAAACAAACAAACAAAAAAGATGAGGAGTGCCACCCCTCAATTCCAGGAAACTGAAGAGAGAGACCTAAAATTAACCGAACATACACGAGAAACATAGGTGAATAAGTGTTTTTCTTAAATGAGGAAGGCATGGCCTGAAAGTTTACAAAATGTTTCCCCCTTCACCGTGTGGAATCCACTTGAATTTTTTGATGATCTTTAACTTTAGATAATGGTTGTTGGAAATCTAAGCTAGTGAATATTTTGTAAAATGTTTGAACACTTCTAAAGGTTAAAAATTAGACCAATATACCAATTATGACATGGTGATACTTCCTTTTTTTGCTATAATTCTTATCTTTGGAAATGTGATCAGTCCCCCCGCCCCCCCCCTCCCCATGCAGTACATTAATTGTATCGGTGTTTTTATTAACATTGAGCTCTAAGAAGGGGGAGAGCCAGGAAGAGAAGCAGGCAGTTATTCCTGCTAATATGGGCCTGACGTGTGCCCACAGTGAAAGTCTCCATTTCTAGCCCCGTGGCTGTGTTCATAAACTTTGTATGGATCGGTTTCACTGGAATGCTAAGTAGGGCCATTGAGATTCAGATAGGAAGGAGAAAGAAAGCTGTTAAAAACAGAAAGGAGTTAAATGACAGTCTTATTATTGTCAGAAAAAGTGGAAACTGCTAACTCTTTAGGAACAGGAATGCCAAAATATGTTTTTGTCCTCCTACTAAAGATCAGCATCCCTTAAAGGCACAGCATAGGGAATAGTCAGTGGTATTGTAACAGTGCTGTGTGGAGACAGGTGGTGGCTACACTTGTGGGGGGTGCAGCATAATGTGCACACTTGTGTTGTACACCTGAAACTAATGTGACATTGTGTGTCATCTATACTGGGGGGGGGGGGCCGCCAAAAGAAAACAAAACACCCATCCCTTTTCAGCCATGGCTATAAGGGGTGTGTGTGTGTGTGTGTGTGTGTAGGTGTAGTCCTGTCCTTAAAAGCTTCTGTTTAGTTTTCTAGTCTTTATTTTCTTCCACATTCTTTTCCAGTACATTAAAGGGGACATTCAGTTGACATTTAATTTAATAATGAAACAACTTTCCACAGAAAATGAGACGGTAAATCGAGTACCTAAAGATGACATTTAGGAAAGTGCCTAGATTCAGCCCATGGACTAACTAGTTAAGAAAACATTTTCAGAGAAGTGTGAATGCCAATTTAGGTTTGAGATGATGGGTTGATCTGTTGATACTGTGTCCCCTGCCATGTCATTTCAACACTTGTGAAATCAGAACTTTATCTTTTTCTCTTTGCATCATGGCATTCCTCCTAGCTCCCTGCATAGAATTTTGCACAGGAGAGTCGTTTTTAATAAATATTTGTTGGATGAAATGTATTTATAAAGCATTTTAACACCTGCAGCAAGTATTTAGGCAGCCTGATCATCTCAGAAACTAAAGGGAGAGCTTTGGCAGAAATGTAGGACAGGTGCCTTTAATGAAATGTAACATTATCACAATTAAATTAAGTAGTAAATAATTATTGGTAATTATACATATTTGGAATGAACTGTTTTAGACGTAAACAAACATAAGATCTTTTGCTTTTTACAAAGGGTAAACAGGCGAGAAGACGACTCTTAAGTATATACAACATACAAGTATCTATTAATGGTTCTTAGGACTATTACCAAGGACTAATAATATATTTTCTGAAAATGGGAAACTCCTTCTCACTCCTTTGAAGTGCTGGACCCCCACCCAATTTTTTTATTTTGATAAGATAAATGTCAGCTCTTAACAGTTAATGGTTTTCTATACAAAATACTTTGTTTTGCCTCATACATTCTTTTTTCCCTCTATCTGTGCAGAAAGTGAGAAAGGGCACCCAGGCCAGGGGAAATTTTAGAGCTAGGCCAGAAATAAAATATTACACTTGAGGGGGAATTTTACTCTTGCTGCATTTGAGATTGGATGCCGTTGGCTAACTGGTGCCACGTCTGAAAGAGAAATAACTATTACAGCTTGTGGCTGCTGACAAAACGTGTTCTCAGCGTTCACGTTCAGCCGGTTCCGGTTGAATTTCACAGTCAGGCTCTTTTCGTGTTACTTTCGTCCCATTTTGCAATTTGGCGACCCGAATTGTAACAGGCAGTGTTTGTAACAGGCAGTGAGCTAAATCTGCATTTAGTCTTGGAAATCGGCGGAAACCAAACGCTGCGGAGCTCCAGGCACACCGGGCCCGACCGCCGTCTGCACGGAGGGTCCACGGGCTCCCAAGGTACCGTCTTGTTTCACCAAACGGACAAATGTGAGCACACGTGCCTGGGAGGGGAAGGGGCAGAGGAGAGACCCTCCTCCTCCTTGCTGTTTATCTCGTTCCCCGAAATAGACGCTCTTGGTGAGAGCTTCCACAGACCCTCCATGCCAGTGTCAAGGTCAGGAGATGAGGGGAGAGGGTGTGAAAGGTGCCATTCCGAAGCAGGGTAAGGAAGGCAGACACCCAGGCAGGAAGCACTTGGTGCCAGAGGAGAAGGAAAAAACGTGGGGGCGGTAACCAGGGAAACAGGATCAAGAAATGTGAGGAAAATTACAGTCTGGCCAGAGGCCCAGCCCTCCACGGTTTCCTGCCCCACCTCATTTTGGTCTCCATCGTGGAGGCAGCAGCGTAGCCCCTCAGGTGTCTTTAGCAATGGGGAGGGGGGAGGCTTAGGTAGGTGACACATGTCCTATTCCAGCTGCCAGGAAGGGGGATGGACCCTAGGCTACCAAGACTGAGCACTCAACGTGCCTTATCATAGGAGCACTTCCCACAGGAGATCCGTGGGTCACTCTGTATGTGTCTAAGTGCTGCATCGAGGCCACTTCCTGTGCCAGGTGACAGGGTGATGAGTTAGGCCCCCGCTTTCACAGGACATACTGTCTGAATGGGGGAGACAGACACTAAACAAGTTAAAACAAATAAGGAAAGAATATATATATATATATATATATATATATATATTTTTTTTTAATTATTTGAGAGAGACAGAGCATGAGCAGGGGAGGAGGGGCAGAGAAAGAGGGAGACAGAGAATCCCAAGCAGGCTCTGTGAGGCGGAGCCCGACGCAGGGCTCGAACCCACGAAACCATGAGATCGGGACCTGAGCCGAAATCGAGAGTCGGACACTTAACCGACTGAGCCCCCCAGGCACCCCAGGAAAGAGTATTTTAGATACTAAGGGCTAAAAATTGTCTTAGCAGTAATGTGGGGGAATGCTTGGTGTGTGTGATGGGGAAAGAGCACTTACACGAAAGCCTCTCCAAGGGGGTGTCCTTGAGCTGAGATCTGAAGGAGCCAGTCATGTGGGGTGTGGGGAGAGCGCAGTCCGGGAGGCAGACCCAGCACAAGCACTGACCCTGAGAGGGGAGCACAGTGATGCCTGCTAGGAACGGGGGGGCGCAGGGATGGGGGCCAGTGCATAGGAAAGAGGCTGAGGCTGGGTGAGGCAGGAGGCTGGATGTTATTTAGAGAGGTGAGGATTCATTAAGGGGTTTGGAGCAAGGGGATTGGGATACGGGGCCATCTGTGTTCTTCAGCGACGTTATCAGGTAATACGCTTTTGTGAATTGGCCTGAGAGCCTCCGAGCCATGTGTAACTTCTCATGAAGCATGGATTCTGACATGTAAAAAATGCTAATGTTTGGAACATCACAGCTTCATAAGTTGGGAATTAGCCAGATCAGTATTTCAGAAATCAGTATAAATCAGACATCAAGAAAATCCAAGGATACAGGTTGATCTATTGGAGGTTAAAGACAGCACTATTTATGAAAGTAGTTTGTGGTCACCCTCGGGTCCCCTGCGTGATGCTAGAGCCCTGTCCCAGGTGCTGGGACTTAGGGGCTCTACCTTCCACAGAAAGAGGGCAACTGTATGTATGTATGTATGTATGTATGTATGTATGTATGTATGTTTATTTTTGAGAAAGAGAGTGTGCGCACACGAGCGGGGCAGGGGCAGAGGGGGGTGAGGGGGACAACGATCCGAAGCGGACTCACACGGACAGGAGAGAGAGCCTGATGGCGGGGTTCAGACACCGAACCGTGAAATCATGACCTAAGCCAAACTTGGACGTGTAACCGACTGAGCCACCCAGGCGCCCCAGAAGAGAGCAACTTCAGATAGAGTCTGACCCAGTGGGGTGGGCTCTGAGTGTGTGACAGGTTCCAGCGTCATTTTATTTGCACAAGTAGCTCATAAATCCCTGGTAAAGAAGGGTGACTAGTATCTTGCTAACCATGGGACAAGGAAAGCTCACTGATAGGACGGCCCCTTGAAGATCCCAGGTAGATTGTCCAGAAGCATCTGCTTATGTTTTATTCAGACCTAATCCTTATCCAGTAAGTGGAATGTCATCAAAAGGACAATGTGCATTTTTAGCGATTAGGAAACAAAATATTGGCTTCTCACAGGGGACTCTCTGAAGCATTGTTATTTGACTCATCATATGACATAATAAAGCCTTAAAAATTTGATTGAAGAAGGCCACTGAGCCTCTAAAACCGTAACTGTGTAATAGCAATTTCGATTGCTCTCAGATCATGCTGCCTTGTGCTGGACTGGTTCGCACAGCAGTTAAGCGAAGGCGTTGCTGTTTGAAGGCAAGCAGCGGACCGAGCCTGTGAAGTTAGACACAGATATTTAGATGGTGGTGAGGCACTGGGTGGGCTTGATGTTCAGAAAGGGCAGTATGGTTGGCACACAAGGACGAAGGAGAGAGTAGTGGGAAGTGAGTGACAGAAGTATGAAAGAGCCCCTCATTGAGCCTTGCTGGGAATGCCCTGCTGGTTGATGTTTAACATCCGGCTCTTGGGGTGGGGGGATGGGGGAGGGGAGGCTCTGATCTTTAAGCATTTGTTGATCCCTTGTGAGGCCAC